TGTGTGTGTGTGTGTGTCTGCTTACACAGGGAACCATTGAGATTAAGATGTGATGCATCTTCAGTCACCAGGCCCTTCACATTCATGCTTCCACAGAAACTTGTGTGAGCTGCAACATACATACAACACATTTATTTGCATAACAAAACCATGTTGTGTGAGAAAATGACGACGAAATGAACGATGGATGAAGAAGAGAAAGTGCACACGTCACCAATGTGACAGCAGAGGAGCTCTGTCTTCATGAAGAAAATGAGAATAGAGGTGCATTAAAACAGTTAAGAGGACACACAGTGACAACTGCTAGAAACAAGAACATAGAAATGTGGTGAAAACGAAGCTTGAGTGTTGATACAACACTTCCACAGCTGTGAAAAGAACCAGCTTAAATCAGGAGTATACTAGAAATAAAACTGACCAGGTAAAAATTTAAACTGCTGTCAAACACTGTGTACAAATAGGTGCACGCTAACCAAAACTCAAATTGTCTTTACCGACTGCACATCACATCTAAAAAGGAGCTTGAAAATCACAGTTATTGAGTCAGGGCGTCTTTTTAGTTCTCTTGAGTCTTCCTTTGGGTGCACATATTTGCACAACCTCATGTGAACTAAAGGACTCATTAAAAATTCAACTTGTGTTGTGCGATAGTTTTGATCTGATCAGAAATCAGGAAATGGCTTTAGGGCGGTGTACAGTTTTATTTTTGTTTCTAATATACTTCCTCCTTCAGAGATAGAAAGTGTGAAAGTAAAGGCTGGAGATGGAGAGAGATGATAAAGGACATTATTTGACTACATGAGGCTTCATTCTTCTTAAGCAAAAAAGTGAGACCTTAGAAATGAGAGAAATGGTGAAGAAAGTTTATTAATAGAGTGGCACAAGAGGTCAGGAGCTGTGACCGTTAACCTTTGTAGTAACGGCTGGTACCTTGTCCTTCATATCCATTAGCCCTGTAGCCCATCACCCTGTGGAGAGTGGTCTGCTTAAACAGCCACAGTTGGGAGAAACTGGAGGACACTGCTTGTCTCATCGAGTCCGAAAATGATGCAAACACACCTGGTGACACACCCGCCCCGTACAATCACTGTTAGTCAGAATGCACAGTCGAGGTACAGCTAGAGACACAAAATAATACAAATATAAATGTGTGGTAGGATGAGTGAAGTCAAAGATAGAAAAATCCCCTGAAGATACCCTGAGAGAAAAATGACAGAAAACTATGGAAAGCCTGAGAAGAGGAAATGTAACAAGGTTTCATGTGAAACAGAAATAGAGCATGACTCAGCCAGAAACATTAACAGTGATGATAAGAATCCTGCTCAGGCAGAAACCAACAGGGAGTGGAGATTTCAAATTAGCTGCAAAAGAGAAATCAGCCTAAAATCTGTCAGCTCGCTGAGAATCTCACTCTGAGCTGACTGACTCAGGAAAATCTGCCACCGAAAAAGACAGAAGAAAGACAGAGAATGATGGGTAATGGATGAAGAGCAAAGCACGCCTCTTGTATACCTTTTCCTGGAGGGCTTTTGGCCCTTGAACCCAGCCAGAGCACATTGTTGAAGATCAGGGTGACTAAGGACACTATGGGGGCCAGGGCTCGTTTGCTGTAGCGCATACACGCGTTAGACATAGACACCAGGACACCTGGAGAAAGACACCGCTACCAATTACATTCTCATTATCACAACTTCCATTAAGATATTGACATACAAGACTTTCACCTTCGGGGTCCAATAATGTCAATATTTAGAAGGACACATGTCCAACTCAACTGTTTCTCACCTGTCTTATTCCTTCGACTCCTGTCTCTGGTGTATATGCTTGTGAAAGGTGATGAGGAGGAGTAGAGGGCGCCTGAGGAAGCTTCTGCAGCCTGAGATGATGATGACGATGACGATGAAGACCGTGTGATAAAGGAGTCCATCTTGTGAGAGTGTATAGAGCAGTCTTTGCAGATGTAACCATTTGCGAGCGAGGTGTGGGACTTTGATGCACTGGCGTCTCCATTGACACCTGATGAAGTGTGGTCGGCGCTGGAGCTCATCCCTGAGGGACCGCAGCGTACACACAGATAAATAAAACCAATTCATTCTTAAAACTATTACATTCATAAAGTATTAGTGCAAAGATACTGATATTGAGCAAGTATGTTATTGCTCTAACAATATAAAAATGCTCTATTATAAGTAAAAGTCTTGTATTCATAATTTTAAATAAGTATGTAAGTATTGTTGAAAATATATACTTAAAGTATGAAAGTCAAAGTACTCACTATACCTCAACTAGTTCCCTTATACTATACTATACTTGTTTATTGAGAGATATAAAAACGTATAAATGCATTTCTTATGTTGAAAATCTTGACCACAGGTTATAACCTAAATTAGTATTTCCCATTGTATGGTTTCTATCTCTGTACTATTTTAGCTTTGTGTTGTATACACAACATGGTAGAATTCAATTAAAAGATATTCAAATAACTTCTAAATTACAATAGATCATTTGGGATGAAATCTATCTTTTTAACAACTGACCCCAGTGTCCATCCACAGAAGTAGAAGTGGTGGTTGTGGTTGTGGTGACGGTGCGCTGCCTCAGGTGTGACTGGTCCAGGATGGAGGCGAGTAGAGAGGCATCAGATGCTGTGTTGCTCTCCTGAACGACGCTGCTGCTGCTGTTAATCGGTGTACTAACAGCTGAGAAGGAGAGGGTTTTCCTCGGTGTGGCGACTTGGCTCAGGGATAATGACAGGGCACCGGAACTGGACTGCTGCTTTTTGCTCCGCAGCGTCCTGGGACAGCAGAGACAGGAAAAATATGAAGAGTGAGTTTTGTTGCATGTATACGAGTATATACAGAGGTACACAATACAACATAACACAACAAACACAAACCTTATGACATAAAAATACACAACTGACGGAAACAGAGGGATGATGGAAACGGAGGACAGTGCAACGTAGAGAGACTGTTTCTGACTCAGCTGCACTGTTACAGTAAACGCAGCCAAGTGGGCTAAACTCCTGTTTCAACAGTGGTTTGCCAGTGTCTCTACGTCTCCTCCTCTACCAGGCTGTGGGACTGACTCTTCAGCAGACAGCGCTGTCAGCAGGCAGCAGGAGAGACGCTCTGTGCTGCACTTTCATCAAGAGCCTGAAAGCCCTGCCCCGCTGACTGTGTCGCAGGTCTAAATTGCACCAAATCTGACAACACACTTCCCTGACTCACACTCAGAGAGACAGAAAAAAAATGAACATGCCGATATTTACTCTCCGGTATTCATTGCTAGTCTCACCGTGTCTCTCTCCTGGTATTGGTGTAGTTGCTGCTGTGGTTCTGGGAGTAGTCAGCCAGGCTCTCGTTGCCATAGTGACCGGCACCGGTCTGCAGACGCAGGCTCCGCCGTGACATCCTGGGCGATTCGTACACGGCAGCAATCTGGTGTTCCTTCTCAAACTCTAATGCTGCTGTGGAGTAGCTGGAGCTGAGAGAGAGACAGGAGGGAGGAACGAGGGAAGAGCGGAGCAGAAAGAGCGGGAAAGTTAGAAAGTGGGGGAGGAAAGAAAGAGAACCAAATTAAAATTCCTTAATTGATGAAAGGAGGAATTGCATTACAGTTACTCCAAAGTTTCTCATGTCCGCTGCACGGAAATTCATTTGGACACAACAAACAAGCCTTAAGTGACTTTTAACCTCAAATCAATACTGCACACAGATATCCTGCACTTTTCCTAATGTGCATGTCACCTTCAGCTACTTCAAACAAAAACAAACAAAACACAGGGACAGACTGTCCGTTTAGAGAGCTGTTGTTCCCTGCAACAGGAAGTGACTCACTCACAGGGGAGAGAGAAAACAAGACAAAAGAATAGTGTGTCTCTGGAAGTCAAATTGGAAAAACGAGCCCGATAAACATCCCAAAGAATGCTCGTAGGCTAGAAAAAAAAAAAACTACTCCATTCACTGCAATCCAAAGCCAACCACGGTAAGTGGAAACACACCATGAATGTTTGACTTTGCCATGCGTTGTGCAGCTGTGACTCACAGGGCCACACCCACCTGGCAGGGTAGGCATGCAGAGTCAAAGCCAACACTCAGCCTAGACTAACAGGCAACAGGGCAGCTATTGCGAAATTCACTTGAACTACGAAAACTATTTTTATAATCTGTTTTATAGCTGGTGCAAACAAAAAAACAAAGTTGGCAAACATGTTAATTCTAGCTTACCAACTATACTGTGACTGTGATAAATTCTGATGAGACAAACGCTGACAGCGCTGCACTTTCTTTGCAGGCTGTGTACAATCTTCAGCACGTAGCTCAACTAGGTCAGGCAGAATTACTCCACGGATAGAGGAGGATAGAGGAGGAGCGAAGCACTTTATCTGTCACTGGAGGACAGAGAATCAACTTCCTGCCACACACTTGAAAAGAAGGGACGTTCCCTGTATAAACAAGAGCCAGAGTTTAAGGCACAAGTGCAGAGTCACTGGCAGTGGCCCTTTACGGCAGTGAGTATGTTGAGGCAGTCTTGCACGTGGGACAAACCGTAGAGCGATGTGGGCTGTATGTGCATACATGTGTGCTCTGTGGTCCTCCCTCTACCTCTACACCCTGAAGATTACACTCCCACTGAGAGCCAATTATGTGCTTTCATCCTCGCTCTGCCTCCTGCCTCCTGCCTGCTGCTCCAACTGGCTTTTCTCTGAGCACATGACCAGGGCAACACCTCTCCTTCTGTATCCTGTTGGTCTCAAATTGACCAGAGCTATCTTTTTTACCACAGCAGACGATCATTATCTCTTCTGGTTAACCCTACTCTCTCCTCATGTTTTTTTGTCCCCCAAAACATAAAACTAACACCTCGGATGGGTAAAAAAAACACAGTGACATCATTTAAAACCACAGAAAAATGTCCAAACAGCGGGATTCTTTGTCTGTGCTCTTCATGTGCCCACAAGCCGCCATCTATACCCTGAAAAAAAAAAAAAAGTTCAACTAGGAGGAAGTGAAGCGGTACCATATTATATGTCTATGATGCCTCTATCAAGCTAACTAAGCTCACAGTATGAATGAGCTGTACCAAAGCATGCCACTTTCAAATACTACTTTACTAACGGATAAATCACATATTTTAATTCATGTACAATTAAAGAGAAAAATCAAGCAAGCTTTAAAGCGACTGTTATAATAATATATCAAACTGTGCGCTGAAGATACACAGTGCCAGTAACACCAGAACAAGAGGCCATACAAGGACAGATGAGCAGAGAGCTGAAGTCACTGTGTGTCCCTGCAGCAGAGAGCACGAGGACCCTGGAGGACACACTCCGAGCAGAGCAGTGAGAAAACAGCGGGTACCTAAACGCACGAGGGCCAGATATCGACCCCACAATCCACTTTCCACCACTGCGACGTCACTGCTCGTCTGATTCAAATTTGAAATTCAAATCTTGGAAAATACCTGTGGGGCAGTGCCGGGTATGTTTTTGTGTTTGCTTTGAATTTCAAACTTTAAAGACAATAATGTTCATTAGAGTGGGCCAAAATAACAGTTTAATCCAGTGAGTCCAGACGAGGAAGAGTACTACAACCCAATATTTTACTGACAACCCTCATAACTGCGACATACACCTGAAGAGTCCCTTAAGTTAATAGAGCTTGTCTCCAGGTCACATCCCCTGAGCCAGTAAATCCTTCACTGTGCAAGTCCTTCAATGTTATACGAAACAAACTAACAGAATGCAACCTTCAGTGATCACACCAAGGAACCATACGATCCCCAGGTTCACCTGGAATGTGGCTTGAGTGCCTGAGCGGGGCAGGGCGTGTGTGTGTGTTGTGGTGTGTGTGTGTGTGTGGTGTTGGTTGTGTGTGTGTGTGAGAAAGAAGAAAGGGCTTGTCTGTCTGTGTAGCCTTTAGCCAGACACAATCATTAATGTCGTCCTCTGCTCAAACAACTCATGATCAGAGATCTTTATTCCACCAACACACCAATCAATCCCCTATGCACCAACTTAAAGTAGCATCTCCAACTAAAAACAGCTTTAAGGAAACCAGCAGCGGTGGAGATCAGAGGCTGGAAACAATGTTTAATTAGTTTGCTAGACTCTTTTCACTTGTTCTGGGTATCCAAACTGATCCGTGTGCCGCTCTCTCCCAGGCGGCTCCCACGGCCCACATCGGAGATTAAAATAGAGACGGACATTGTGCTTTCAGAAAGACACAGATGAAGAGACAGACATACAGTGCTGAGAGAGAAGACACTTCCATCCTGACATTCAGCTTCCTGGAATCTCTCCTTACATAACACTAAAGCTTTGATACTCTTCCCACACTCAGTGGGCACAGCCGGCTTTCTTACAACGCACAGCTACACAGAGCATCACATCAGATAGGATTCTACATTTTAGTTGCTCGTGTTTGTTATTTAGCACATTATTAGTATGCAGAGCAACATGCAATGAGCATGCAGGACGGCATTCAAAGTACTGAAATTTAGGTGCACTTAATAAACTATTAGATACAAAGCTGTGAAATGATATTTGTTTCCTTTCTTTGTATTCTGACACTGAACTCAATAACTTATGGTTTGGGATTATTGCTCAGACAAAACGAGCAATTTCAAACTCGGGCTTTGGGAAATAATGACAGTTCTTTGACACTTTATAAACCAAACATTTAATCAAGAAAATAATTCAGGTTGATTAATAACGGATACAAGCTGAGTAACAGTTTACTGAATCTGGTTAGCTTTACAAACAAGTATTCAATTCTATTTATGCCAAGTATTAGAATATGATCTGTCTAGCATAAGAAAAAGTAACATTACTTCAAGGTGCACATGCACAACTGAAATGGGATCAGATCTTCCAGACAGCCTCAGGGTGGTGTGATTGGAATTCATCCAGGTGCAAACCCGACGTGATGAATGTGTTTTTATCAATGAGAAAGAATCTGCCCGTGGGGTGGAAGCGCCATCACTCCTCACTCTTTACGGGCTCATTAATATATCGTACCCTGGAGACAACGTGAATCCAGATATTTGTAGAGGGGTTCAGAGCAGCTGCTGGAACGACAGAGGCAAAACCGGCACGTCATGATTTCTCTCAGATCTATCCACAGAAGACAAAGAGAAAGTAACTCTAGTAACATGGCTTCTGGTGAATCTCCAGTGCCGTGTTTGGTTTGCTGCCACCGAAGGGACTCGCCACCCACCCACCTTCTGCCTGCTTTGAATAGTGTATGCAAAAAGCGAGATCCCATCACAAAGTATACAGAATGGATGGACACAATTATACATCAAGTTTACATGCAAAGACAAGGTGGTCGTTCTGGCTCTTCACCATCTGCACGGCAGATGTTCCTTTAGATCAGATCAGAGATAGATTTCTGTTTGGTCTGCTGGAGGAAGTCTGTTTGAAGCTCATCTTTTAGGGCTGCAACAAAGAATTGTTTTCTTTAAAACAGACCCAAGGTGGGATCTTCAAATGGTCTGACTAACAAGTTATTTTCTGTTAAATAAGAAAAGAAAAGCAGACAATTCAGAGCACTTAACATCTGAAAGTAGGGGATGTTTGTTTTGCTTGAAAACAAAAACTTAAATTATCCATCAATCATCAAATGAGTTTGTTTAATTGACATTCCAGCTTTAATAACGTAAACCAAAAACTCTGACAACTTAATGTCAAACCAAAAGAAAAAGCAAAAGTTGATACACTGTCAAAAAGAATAAGAAAGAAAATCCCCTTGCTGGTAATTGTATTACAAGCACAGACACTGATAATATAATATAACCTAATCTGCAGCTCTGAGATCAGAGTCTACTGTAGTGAGCTATAACAGTAGTAGCCACAAAGACCCTCGACAAAAAAACACTGGCTTCCATTTGTGGTCTCACACACACACACACACACACACACACACACACACACCTTAAACAGATTATAGAAACCACG